GCGACCGTGGAGTTTACTTACTAGTGGGCAGACAGGCACATAAACAGATAATTACAAAACAAAGTGGGACTTCCCAGGTGGCGCTAGTGGTAGAGAACCTGCCTGCCAATGCAAGAGACCTAAGAGACACAGGTTCAATCCCTGGGTCAGGAAGATCCCCTGGAGAAGGGCATGGCAACCCACTCCAATATTCCTGTCTTGGAGAATCCCATGGACAGTGGAGCCTGGAGGACTTCAGTCCACGGGGTTGCAAAGAGTCAGACACCACTGAAGAACTTAGCATGCACTCACGTACAGAACGAAGCGCAAAGCACAATGAAGGAAGAGCATGCATACAAGATGCTCTGGGAGCAGAGATGGAGAGCACCAGAGTTCACGCTGGAAGGCTCAGATTTGGCTTCTGGAGGAAAGGATGCCAAGGCGCAAAGGATTTCAAGCAGAAACTTAAAAGGCTTCGCTGGGATCCCAAGGCTTCCTTATTTGATCCTTTTTAACCCTCTAGACATTTCACCATTACTCCCAACATAACTCACCTCCCAACTACTATTGTATCAGTCTCAGAACTGTTTCCTTGAAAAACCCAGTTTTGATCCTATCTCTTAATTCCTTTCCTCATATGGCATTCTCTATCAGATATTCTCTGCCTGGTAGCATGTTCTCATCTCCTCCATGAAAACAGGCCCTGCTGGCATACAGTCATATACTCTCCTATTACTCATGAAAGCACTTCAAACATGTATGTGATGATTAATGTTATTTCTTCACAGTTTATCATTGTTTATTGTTTATCACTCCAACAAAACTATAAATACCTTAAGGAAAAAAAGGGTTCACAAATTAATTTTGTTTCACAACACCTGGCAAGGTGTGAGCAAAGTCCAAGATGTCAAAAATACTTTCTGAATTAAATTATTTCACCAATGCCTTTTATGGTTTATCTGATGTGCAATAAATTCATTTTATGAAAGTTTAGAAGTTCAAATAGCCAGAGGAGAGAACATTTTTACTTCTGTCAGTTAATTTACTAACTGAAAGTCAGTAGTACTATATGAGAAATAAACTTAGCTTGGTAGAATTTGTGAATGTGAAGAAAACGTGAACCATGGAATAAATTACGCAGTTGGTTTATAAAGCAGCCTGTGAATAAGGTTCTTGTACTTGGTAAGCAGTAAAAAAGCAGTATATTGTTGAGAAGGAATGTATTTAGGGTAGAGTACAAGTTTGAATGGGCTTTTATGTATGGAAGCATTTTATATATACATATATATATCAGTCAAGTAAATGAAGAGAATTATACATATATGTGAATATGTGCACATACACACACAAAATGAGTGTGAATAAGGTAACAGAAATGGCAGTTGGAAATACAACCTTTTCATACTGCTAATGATAAGGCATTTTTAAACACAGCAGTTCCTTCTTATTATTTTTTATTTATCTGTTTTCCTCCCACTGTTATTTCTCCTATTGTTCCTCTATTTAGGCTTTTCTGCCGAATTTTCTCTCCTTACTCCCTCCTCTCTAACAAACAAAACCTCCACACACTTTCTCATTCACACTCACACTAACCCAAGTCAACTGTTTCCCACACTTTGTATTCAAAGCATGAAACCAGCTCTATCAAGAGGGGGTCTGACAGTGATGCCATTAATTCACTAGACTACTGAGTGGCTTTCAAACTTCTGCTCACAAATCCCTAAAAGAATTTTGAGTAAAACGGAGACGCCGTGCCAGTTATAATACATTGCCTCTCACCTCTAAATGTATCTTCCTCACCTGCTTTGCTAAAACGGAGCTGGGACCTTTAAATATTTTTGTCTTTTTGTCAGCCAACATGATATTACTCTTTGTCAGTAGAAGGCACAGGAGAAGGATTGCGGGAGAAAGAGGTTCTTCCTTCTCGGTTTCAGCATGCTTTCTCAGCAGGCTCCTGCAAAGCCCGCTGCCTCCCTGGCATGTGGCTCGCGTGGCGCACGGAGCGCCTCCTCCTTGCAGGCCTCGCAATGAGGGCAGCCTCCCCAGCACCCAACCCCCGAGTGTGCGCAGCCTCTCTGGTCCCCATCACTGGCAGCCGGCTGCTTCTCGGGCGATGGCTCCTGTGACACCAGCATCTCCTCTGGAGCAAGCTGCTGGTTTCGGGCAGAGGGATGAGCTCACCTGGTGGCCAGCAGCCTCCCCTGGCAGCTCCCTCGGGTAGTTTTGGAGTGGAGGGCCCCCAGGGGGACACTTCCCTGCCAAGAGCTTTCCCCAGCACCCCAGAGGGGAGGTATCCAGTAAATTCCAGGAGGCAGAACCCCAGGAGTTGCACCATCGGAGCCCCACAGTGACTCGTGGGCAGTCTGCAGGGGAAGCTTTCCCTTGAGGTCTCTCTCAGCCCTAGGGGTCATGGTCACTTCCTGTATTTGCTGTCTCTATATTCATCAGAATTTCTGTTTGCTTCTTACCTACCAGTCCCTCATCACCACCATCCTCTGTCACAGATAGTCATTCTCTGCATTAGACTTTCCTGTTCAAATTATTGTGTGGCTTCTGTATCCAGATCCGGTGCTGACTGATACACACTTCCTCCTGCATTTTAATGTGATGGCTAAAATTTCTTACCAAGAAGTTAAATAATTGAAAAAAGATAAATTATCTGGTGTTCTGAATATAGATATTCTTAAAATATATTTTTGTCAAATCCTTAGAGTGATGTATCTAGGTCAATTAATGAATGGAGAAGACTACTGTACAACCTTATTGCAAAGCAGTCCTCAGTATCTCAAGTAAATCGGATTTATTTCCTGTACACACACACATACACAAAGACTTTCACCTAAAAATTTTGAACAAATATGTCAATACATGTTTTCATGACACACATCTCACTTATGACTGGTAGAACATGGATAGACAGATAGATAGATGGAGCAATAGATAAGCAGACAGCCGGCAGACAGACTGAGTATCTCCAAGATGAAATACTGTTTCAACACTTTTTTTTTAACCAGTTCTTCTCAATGTTTTATTTATTTATTTATTTATTTATTTTTTTGGCCTTGCTTTCATGGGTCTCTCCAGAAGTAATGCATTCCTGAACTGTCCTTTTGCTCAATGCCTTAGAGATTTTTACCCTGTGATAATAAATCATAGTAAGCACTGGGATGGGTGGAAGGCATTGCCATTTTTGTGAAGTGGGAGAAGGGGAACCATGACAGAGGAGACTGGAAGGAAGAGGTGGCAGACTACAGACTCCCTCAGTAACAGACAGCAGTTTCAGGAAAATGCTTGCATAGGGGCTGAGGATCAGAAAATTGCTTCTCTCAAAGCTGTTCATGCCCTGTGGACACCCAGAGTACAAGTTTTCCAGTAGGAAGAAAGCAGCGCCAGACCAAAGAATTACTGCATTCTATACTGAAGGCCAAAGAGAGATGCTGCTCCCCCTAAAACTGACAAGAAACCAAGAGGAAGAAGTTCAGCATTTTTTTTTCCCATGTAATGTAGACTAAAAATATTAAATTATATTCCATAAAAATTTAGAAACTATGAGCTTTCCTTACAAGAATGCTAAAGTTTCCTTTAGAGTCAATATCACATCAAATATGAAACTCCTGAACCCCACCAGTACCTATGGTTGGATAAGGGTCTTGCTTTTACTATTTGTGACTCAAGATGTCACATGGCTTAAATCCTTCATTTACAGTGGCTCTGTTTCTTATTTAAAACAGTAAGTTTTCCTTAGATCCACTACTTCACTGAATCATATAATAGGGAAAGAAATGAAGAATCTTAAACAAAAGCAAAGGAGATGTGGCCAATTTTTACTATTTGGGATATTAACAAGCTTAACATGGCTCGGCAACTATCTTAAGTGTTATATCAACTATTATGACACAAACTAAAGGTGCTGAAATATAAAGACGTGTGTTTTCTGAGAGGAAATGGGTGACAATTTGAAGGGCTGGTATTTTTTAACAGAATGAATAAATACATACAAATTCAGAACAGATTCTCAACCAACACTAATGTGCAATAAGGTTTATGCAAGTTAAGAAAGGTTTTAAACTTTTAAATTTTTTTTCAAGGAAACTACTGTTTCCTGTTATTTCTGGAAAATCTGTAAATGCTAGTGTTTTCAAAAGGAAACATTTGTGAGGAGATATTAAGTATGTTTTACAAGCTACACATATCAGATTCTCGTTTGTGCATTTCCCCTAAGAAATTTGTAATTCTGTTTTAAATAAATGACACTTACTCTCAATTAAAGTTTCTGTCTTTTTATTCCTCTAAATCAGCATCCCCACGGGGAGTATGGGGCTCCTAGGATTTTTTCGACCTAAATAAATACATTTTTTAATAAAGAGTTTTCTTTCTTGGATAAGATCCGTAATCTCTAGAACACAATGTCTGACTTAACTATTCCATTAAAAAAAACTATGTACTGCCTGTTTTATAGTAATCTATTGGGATCTTTAAAATAAAAGATTTTCAATCAATGCAAAACTTTAAATTTTGAGTATGTAATTTACTTATGTATGTATAAATATTTGTTATAATTCCCACTTGACTTTCAATAAAGGTATTGCCCTTCACTGCAGGAGTACGAATAATCCACTTGGTGCATATTATTCAATCTGAAGGATGCACATAAAGAACTTCCATTATGGTCCAATAAATAAATTTAGGGCCATCACTTGGTAATAGAAAAATCAATAAATATAGACATTTTTATGTTCACCAAAATCTCTTTCATAGCTCTGCTAAGCACCTTGGTTACTGAGATGACCAAGTTAATACCAGGTATTTTAAAGATTCAACAAGAACTCAGCCAGTCTACCAAACTGGTAATTTATTGTGAAAGCCAATAATTACTTTTGTTTTGTGGTGGAGCGGGGGCAGGGAGTAGAAACATTAGAAATAAGAAAATTTAGGAATGGGAAGATCTAATGTGAACAGGCAAAATCAAGTTTGTTACCATCTGTGATTTGCTCACATCCTTAGGTTTTTAATATACTTACTTAAACAATGGAGTTCCACAAACAACACATTTGTATATTCCAGGATCTTTGTGATGTGTATATTCTCCTTCGAAGGCACTGATACGGAATAAACAGAGCATAAAAAAAATGAAACAAAGTTAGCATTATTTCTTAAAGAACATATTTGCTTAAAATATATTTCTCTAATAAATCTTTCAGGGGCTTTTTGTCTTAAAATGAGAACAGACCAAACATATGGAAATCTGAACATTACTAATATATTTCAAATCTGTATAATAAAATGTGCATATAACGACTCCAAACTAGTGCAGGTTAAATTTTTTAAAAAATCAAGCCGTCTAGTTATGTAATGCTTAGAAATTTTTTTTTTCCTATTTGAAAAAAAAAAGCTTGTAGTTCAGATTCACAGAGAAAAACATTATTACATGATATTTCTGCTCCTCTACAGTGTCCAAGAATGTATACCAGAAAATACAGAAGGGTCCAACACTTCAAGTGGAAGGAGCCTTATTTTCTGGTTCGAAAAGGAATATTGCAGCTTTAAGGGAATATTTTTCTAAGTTAACAATCTTGAAGGCTAGGAGGTCATTCAGCTAATACAAATCAGCTGTGCTGGCCCAACAAAAAGTCTGTGCTCTACAGCTTGTTTTTATTATCCTTTCACCCTCTTTATGAGGTCCAATTTTTTTATAAACAGAATTTTTAAGAATGACCTAATCTCTAGTTGTTTGTGTGCATTGAATCATTTTGCTAGTCATGTACACAACAGGACAAGTAGACGTCTCGGGCCGAGACCCAAGTCCATCTCCAGCTCCTTGTGGGGTGAGGGTGGGCTTTGTCAGAGATTCAACATTTGTTCAAGTCAGTAAACAGTATATACAGTGACAGGAAGAGAGTGTTGCCTATTAACAAAGACCCCATGTGTGGTAAAGAGCTCTTTCAGTTCATGAATGAAAACAAGAAGTTACATCATTAATAAATTTGGATCAGAGGTAAGTTACGGCCTTACGCCAAGCTCCATGGTATAAATTAGACAACAAAATGGTCGGACTCTGGCAAGTTACCTTTGAGCTGGAATCAGCTGAGAGAGACTTTATTCACCAAAAACAGTCTTGGAAGTGAACAAACTCTTTTTTTGGGACTTAGGGCGAACTTCCAAGGACCAGAGCCATGTGAGGGCAGTTATTGAAAATTTTTGACATTCCAACCACAAATGAGCCAATAAATACTTTCTCCACATGTGCTTCAAAAAGAAATTGGAGTGGGGTAGAAAGGAACTAAATTATGCTACCTTCTTTTTGCAGCCAAAACATCTATACTTACAATGGCCACCTTCAAATTTTCAGCATCCTGGCGAAGTGCCATTCCCTCATGGTTTTGCTTACTGTGATGTCTTCCCAAAAAATGTACCTAAATCGCTATTACTTCCACACATTTTGTAGTAAACTAAAAACAGGCCCTTAACAAAAGCCTTGTGACTTTACAAAAGATAGAGTGTTCATTAAATGGGGGAAAGAATAAATAAAACTTAGTCTTAATCTAAACAATACTATTTTCAACCTTTTCAAGGATACTAATTTGCAGACTTTAGCAAATAAGTGCAGAATCCTTTCAATTAAATGGCAAGGGAGAGGATTCAAAGGCTGGAGCACGGGCACAGAGGATGAAGAAAACCAGCTCTTGCCTAAGGACTTGTTCGTAAGCTCACCTTACCTTTCGGTCCCTTTTTCCTGAGTGACATGGTATTGCAGGGGTGTTAGCCGCTTCCTCAGTTCCTCCTGGGAAAAGACCACCTTGCAGTTCTTTTTATCCCTGCATGACCCTGGAGGAGGAGGAGAAGGAGAAGGAGGAGTTTCAGCTTCAACCCTAAATAACTGCTTTGGCTGACCGCCGCAGCACAGCTTCTGCTGTCACTTGTCAAGGACCAGAGCAGTCCCTAACACACTCGACAACCTCACCTGAACTGCAGTTATTTCTCTCAATTTAAAAAGAAAGGTACTCAAGATTCAAGTGATTCCACTGGTGCACTGATGACGTGCTATAGCCAAAGCTGCTAGCACAAGACAGTAAAAACCCATTGAACATTCACAAGATGGGAACACATCCTTTATGTCTTCCAATACCTTGAATGTTTTTTACAAACAAATTCAAAAAACATAGCTATTTATAAGCATTTCTGCTGTATATATAAGATGATGGGCATATTATGTTAAACAGTAACTCTCCATTCAATTAGTAGAAGAGCTTGAAACCTTCCTCATTCAATTTCCATCCTGAGTGATTTAAATACTATCCTAATTATTTACTGAACCTGAGAGATGCATTTTTCCACAACGAGGAATTGCTATTCTTTGTGATTCTGTGGGCTTCCCCAGTGGCTCAGCGGTAAAGAATCTGCTGGAATGCAGGAGACCCCGGAGACGTGAGTTCGATCCCTGAGTTGGGAATATCCCCTGGAGACGGGAAGGGGGGAAGGGCTACCCACTCCAGTATTCTTCCTGAAAAATCCCATGGACAGAGAAGCCTGGCGGGCTACAGTCCATAGGGTTGCCAAGAGTCGGAACAACTGAAGCAAGTGAGCACGGCACAGTAATTCTGGCAGAGGCCTCACTGGGTTCTGAAGAGTCCTTTAAAATAAATATCTCTTGCAAGACTGTATCTTACCGTGTTTCAATGGGCAAGACACGTGTAACAGACTCCAGGAGAAGGCATGTATACTAATGTAGTTTCAAGAAGTTCCAAAAAAAAGAGTGAGAAAAATAAGGAGGGTGGGAAAGACAAAGAAAAGTGAATGGGATTTTATTTACAGACCTACATTTTCCTTTTGTAAAGTATACCTAGGAAGACTTCACTGATTAAATGTATTTCAATGGTAAAATAATTTTAATGTGATTCTAATAACAATGTTAGCTTTTATTTCAACTTATATAGTCTGCAGTAAAATGTCCAGACAACACCTGCTTATATGTGTTATTCTGTCTTACCTGAACAAATGACTGAAGAGAAATACAGTCAGTCCTCTGTATCCGCGGGTTCGCGCGTTCCACAACTATAAACTCAACCAAACACGATGGAAAATATTCACCACCCCCCTAAAATTCCAGAAAGTTCCAAAATGCAAACCTTGAGTTTGCCATACTAAAGCAACTATTTATACAGCATTTACATTGTATTAGGTATCATTACAAGCAATCTAAAGATGATTTAAAGTATAAAGGAAGATGTACATAGGTTATATGTAAACATGCCAATTTATATAAGGAACCTGAGAATCCTCAGATTTTGGTAACTGCAATCCCCCATGAATACTGAGGGATACCTGTAACTACAGACATGGCAACCCTTACTCAATGCAGTAAAGTTGCTTTTCTTTGCTTTTGCATCACAGGGTGAAAGAGGCATGGAGATGGCCCTACGTGCAAAAATTTCTTACCATGTTTCCAAGTTACTATGAGAAAGCTTGCTTAAGTTTCCAGAATAGTAAAAACTTCTTTGGAAACCTAAAAGAAACATGATTGAGGAGTAGAAATGCTTCCTACTCCTTTTACTTTAAGGCACCTACTGTCATAGTATATGAGATCACTGGAATTCTAACAAGAGAAACACAACTAACCACTGACTCTGACTCTGGGACTGAAGAAGGATATCAGCTTCCAGAATCAGGGCCACCAGGACACAGTGACTGATTCTCTGAGAAAATATGGAGGCAGAAAAAGAGCAAAGCAGAGCCAGACGGAAAAGCACACCTTTGAGCAGGCCTGCGGGTTGTCAACCAGCACCTCTTCTGACCTTCCACAAAGCATGGCTGGTGCTGCTCTGGCCTGAAAAGAGCCATAGGAATGAACAGCCGCCATGTCACTCACCTCGCTGGACCCCATATTACACCAGGCTTTACCCAAATACCTACTACTTACACTGTTTATATCTTCTAAGAGACAGACAGAAATGTTTCCCTGAGAAATGTCTGTCCGATCAGAACAAGCCTCTCCACAGCTTGAAAGCAGAGCTGGCTGTGAGAGGTGAGTCTCCGCTCAATTCGCTACAGACATCTTAAGAGGTGTTTTTTGTTTCTGTTTCTTTGTATGTTGGAAGGGTTGTATCTTTGTTGATTGTGTCCAGAAAAATTCATTAATTGCAAGCCTAATATGACAAAAATATCTTGGTTAAAATTATGCTTTCCAGTGGCACAGATAATTCAACTCTGTACAGTTAAACAATTTTGAAACAATTCTGTCCAAGATATTTTTGTTAATATATGTTCATTCATACAAAAAGACCAATTGTGTTCCCAAAGTTGAGAGAACTAAGCTACCCATCTGTATGTCATTTAGTACATGAGAGGCAACTGCAGGTTTAAATTACATGGTATTGGATTGCAATTTCCTAACATTGGATGCTTTTCTGCTTTTTTACCTTGAGTCATTTACTAAGGAGTGTTCATAAAAAGTAGCTTAAAGCACAGATGCTTGCAAATCGTTTAGGCAAAGATGTTTCTCTCTTTTTCATTCTCCTTCTCTCCAAAAATCTCTCTTTTCTGAAGAAAAAGAATAAAACTGTTGGTCAGTATTGACGAACCATGTCAAGTATTTGTACAAGGAGAAAAGGCAAAATTGAAAACATCTGATTGAAGTAAATAATACAAACATAAAAGCTTTGCTGGTGAATGAAGGGTATTGAAAAGACTTTATTTCATAGATTAGAAATTACTTTTGATCTAAACATTCTTAAAAACAGATTGTTTTCCACTATGAACCATCTCATTAGTCGTGCTACAGAGACCTCGTTTTAATGGCAAGCTTTGAAAGCGCACTGCTGTACTCTTTTGTTAGGCTCCGTCTTATTTGGGGGTGGGGGGGGCGGGGGTAAAGATTTCATTCCAGCTTTCTTTGTTTGTCTTTCAAGAACCACTAAAGCAGTGTTCACACAAATTTTGTAGGAATGTGCCCTATGTCATAGCCTACAAATTATTTGGTTTTGGTGCACTTAAAGGTCATCTTCCAAATTAACAAAATTTTCCTACATCCTGGCTTTTCAACCTTAAATATAAATATTGTTTCCTAACTGTAAGTGAGGTTTGTTCTTTAAGAAATGCTAGTGTTTATTTAAAGTTGTCAAACTTTGTACATTTTTATTCTTTGGTCATACTATGTTCTCAAAATAATTAGGCTTTTAAAGTGTGCCTAATAGCAAAAGGAAGTGTGTGTAGACTAGAAACTATTGTGATTTAATATGAAACAATGAGAAGTTAGTCAAATTTTAATAAATTTCTTGCCATATAGTTTAATAATAATATGCTTTCCTGGACAGTTGAAAGCTATACTCTTAAATTAGCTCTCCTAGCATCATAACCAAAACCTGGCATATAGAAACACAGAAAGGCTTTACTTTTGTCTCTAATTTTCCTTCTCCCTATCAGACTCACTTTTCTAAAGTCATGTGGTGCCACTGTTAATTTCGAAGAAATCATTTCATTCCGAAATTCTAGAATAATTCATTGCATGGTTTCCCTTTACTATCTTCACTTAGGTACTGTAATTTTCTTATTACACAGGGTAATTTAACATTAGTATTATATGACATCTGTTCAATGACCCCTAAATTGACTTAGAAGTATGTTAGGAAAAGACTTTTCTCTTTATTTAAATGCTTAATGGAGTACTTTGAAGCCACGAGTGTGTGTATATACACAGGCAACACACAGCATAACTGAAAGGGTAACATTGCCACCTTGGTATCTAATCATAACACCATGCCTTATGGAGTAAGCTTGGTATATATCAGATCCACCTTGAACCCAAACAAAGGGCATTTATTTGCTAAAATATGCCCAAAGTCTCTTTTTATGTCAAAGCTTGTTCCATATTATTGCCTCGAATCCAGTATTGTCTTGAATTAGAGTTCACTTTCTGCCTCTGTCTGCTTCCTAGTCATGGGAACTTAGACAAATGGGTCTCTCTCTACGTACTACTACCCTCAGAAGTCTGCTATGAGAATCACAATTAGCAGTTAACTAACACTGTCTAAACAAATACAGTATTAAATTATCATTTGGATTACAGTGAATTCTGAAGTTAAAACTGTACTTTAGAAGATAACCAGATCAGGCAGTGTGCTAAAATATTTTATTGATAATTATTTTTCTAAAATAATTCTCTTGGGATAGTATTTTCCTCACAAGTTCTCTTTAAAAATGATTCAAACAAGAATTGGAAGAAGAAAAGAAAATTAAAATTTGAGTAACTACTCTGTGCCAGACTTATTTCTAGGCACTTTCTCATAACTACATTTAATCCTCTCAATAATTCTAGGAGGTAGAGATCATGTCCATTTTACAGATACAGAAACTGAGGTTCAGAGAGGTTATAACATAACTTAAAAAGGACAAACAGTAAAAAAGATATACTGACTCAAATCTCAGGCTGTCAGAGTGCAAAACCCATGGAAAAATTAAGCTACAAATTTCTTATTTCTTCCTAAATTATATGATAGCTTTCAACTTGAAAACTATCACTAACAACTAAAGATAACAAGAGAGGAAAGTAATGATCACTGTAGTGCATCCAGAAAGTAAAAACATTTGTCTATTAGCCAATGTCTGTTTTACCTGGGTTCACTCCTTCAGCAGAGGGTCAGTGACAAGGTTCAAATGGGATTCTCACAATGTCTATAAAATGCTGAAAGGCTTTTAAAATTCTTGTTAAGAAGTAAATCAAATCTGTAACCTAAATCTTAGGGCACTTTTAAGTCATAAATCTTATATTTCAGTGTGAAAAATCAAAACAAAACAAAATCTTAAGATCCCATAATTTTAATTTTGGTCCT